CGCTCCACAAATTTCTAATAATGCGAAACATCTCAAATACAATTATTCGTCGAAACAACTGGTTGAGCTAATTGCGAGACAACTTGAAGAAACCCTAGAAGTCTACACTACGTTGCAAAATTACAAAGTCATTGATCATCATCATAAGTGGTTCGATAATCCATTGTGGATTTTAGCCTGCTCACAAAGAAGTCGCCACTTCTGTCAATTCCTGGCAACTTCCCTCCATCTTCTGACCCTTAGAATCTATAGGTCTTTTTTCACATCATCAATCCATCTCCTTCGTGGTCGTCCTCTGCTTTTTCTGCCCTCTGATTTTATATCTGGATCGGTCTTTCTAAGAATTTTTCTCTCAAAAACTCCAAGAAGCCTTTCATCATTTTGAAATGAGGTCCACGTTTCAGCCCCATAACTCAAAAACTGTCTTATTAAGGTCTTGTATAATATATTGAGCTTTACTGCATGTTTTATATTTTTATTTTTTAAATGTTTCTGGAGACCGTGAACAGTTATGTTTGCTATTGCTATGCGTCTTTTTATTTCGCCGTTTGTCGTGTTTGTTGCGTTTACTAGCGATCCAAGATATGTGAATTCTTTGACTTGCTCAAAGGTATGGTTGTTAATTTGAATTCTCTGTTGGATATTTCGAACATATATTTGGTTTTTTCCTCGTTTACCACAAGTCGTACAAGCCGCAAGGCTTGTAAAACACTGCACCATGTCTCTCATACTTCTGCCCACTATAACTATATCGTCAGCGAATGCGAAAATTTGCGTCGATCTATTAAAAATAGTTCCATCCATTCTAATTGTCTGATTGCCTTTTCCAAGGCAATGTTAAAGAGGAGACACGCCAGCACGTCCACCTGTCTTAGACGCATGTCAAAGAACGTAAAGTTTTCTTCTTCAATTCTAACGCATGAGCTTAAGTTTTGCATTGTTAATTGGGTCAACTTAACTAACTTAGGTGGGATCCCAAAGTCTATCATTGATTATATAATGCAGTTCTTTTCACACTGTCATAGGCTGCTTTGAAGTCGACGAAGAGATGGTGTGTATCTATGTTATATTCTAGTGACTTTTCTAGAATCTGCCTATCTGCTTGAATTTGATGTGTAGTTGACTTTCCAGCAGTAAAACCGCATTGATATTGACCAACAATATCCTCTGTAAAATATTTAAGTCTTTCAAACAACACATTGCCAAAGATTTTATACGTAGATGCTAACCGAGTAATGCCTCTATAGTTCTTACACTCCAGTTGATCACTCTTTTTATGCAACGGACATATTATTCCCTTTAGCCACCTTTCTGGTACCAATTCATTCTGCTATATAAGTACTATTAGTTTATGGATTGCTGCAAGAAGTTGATCGCCACCTTTTTTATACATTTCCGAACAGATTTCATCGATTCCTGGGGTTTTATTGTCTTTGAGTTTTAGGATGGCATTTGACACTTCTTCTCTTGTTGGGTCTTCACTGTGTAGTTGACGTAGATTTTGTTGATTTTCTATGTTGTAATCTCCTTCAATATCGTTTATATTTAGATATTCGCTGAAATGGTGTGCCCATCTGTTAAGAACTGAGTTTTTATTATGTAGAATTTCACCGCTAGTGTCTTTACAAAATTTTAATCGTGGTTTAAATTCTCGACAACTATTATTTAAGGATTTGTAGTATTTCCTCGTTTTATTTTATCGAATAAACTTTGTATCTCATTGAGAGTGTTCTGTTCGTATTTCCTCTTCTTTCGTCGATGGATAAAGTCATTGACATTGTCAATTTTTACAAGTCCGAGAGTCACGACGTTAAAAAAGGAAAACTAAAACACCACAGGAAAATTATATATTTCAGGAAACAGAGCATAACAGAAACCAGGGACAATTTTACTATACAGACCGACAAAGAAGAGAATTTGTGCCAAGAAGGAGATATGAAAGGAGAGATGAAAAATAAAATAATTATGAACCAAGGAACCGACAGTAGAATTGGAATAGTCAGAAAGAAAATAAGGAAAACAATACTGCACCGACATATTAATATAAAAAAATAATAGGAATACAAAGGAACAAAGATATAGTGAAAACCGTTTCAACGACGAACGATAGAGAGAAACGAAAGTTATAAAGAAAATAGCCATAATGACGAACCTAGAGACCAAGAGATGCAGCAGGCATTTTTTCTCGAAAGCGAAGCAAACGACCGGAATTTTTGTTACCCAAAAGAATTTATCAAACTCTTTGGAAACAATGAAAAAAGATAAGGATCAATTTTAAAGTTTGTAAACGGTTTTATAAACGAAAAACCAATTAAAATTTTAATAGATTCTTAATCAGAAATATCAATAATAAATAGAAAGTTGATCGAAGAAGTTGAGTTGATAAATTTTATTTACAAAATACCGCGGGTGAACTTAGTGGGCGCAAACAAAAGGACATTGGCAACGATAAATGAAGGAATAAAATTAATGATAAGGACCAACGAAAAATTTTATTCACTACAATGCGTGATAATGCCGAATATGTCTCATGATATGATCGTAAGTGTGGACGAACTGTCGGAAAAACATATATTAATAGGTTTCAAAAACAATCTGATGAAAATGGATGGTGGATTGGTTGAATTGGACGAAAAATTGTAATGAAGTAAAGAAAAATGAATGTAAAAAAAAATGAAACAAAATTTAAAAATAAATACAGTAACGGAACAAGAACGAAGAAATTACCTAAAAAATAAGCAAAGAAATTAGGAAAAATCAATGCCTGGGGGTCATTAAAAGAAATGAACCTGGAAGAAGAAAGAAGAATAGAAGAAAATAACAATACATGGAAGTCATGGTATGAAGTGAATTTAGAAGAAAGTGAAAAGAAAAACAAACATTAGTGAAAACGAAAATTGTAGAAGTTTCCGAAACGATAAGCGAGGAAGCTGATATACAGAAACAGGAGAAGAGGACGAAATTGAGACCTTAGTGATTGAAGACAAATGCGTTTTTCATGAGGATGTGGAATACGAAACCAACATATGTGAACAGGAGAGTGAAGGAGACAGAAAGTTAATTTGCAGAGAAAGCATGGACAATGAAGTACATTTGATATTGAAAAATTATGAAGAGTTTATTAATGAAGAACACAGAGTGCAAGAAATTATGAACATTATTTGAGAAAATTTGAAAAATGTTCGATCAAAAACGTACAGATTTAGTACAACAAGAACTCCTGTCATCAATACTAACGAGAACACCAATATACAAAAGCTTTCATAGACAAAATCATGACTAATAATGACTGCAACCTCAAAATAAAACTTAGTTTACATAACGTGTTAGCCAATAATACCTAACTACTTACTACTATATACAGTGCTTTTCAGATAAAACTATCCACCTTAAATAACTTTTGAACCTCTAATTTTTTGGAAAAACGCAAAAACACGTCAATTAATATTTGAAGGGGGAGACGTTATATCATATTTAAGGTTGCTGGGAAATGCACCCTTTTACCCCCTGTATCAACCCTTTGTTTTTTTAAATTACTTCCCCTTTTTTTATTTTATATTTAGCTTCCTCCTTTTTGTTTGATTTCAAAAATGTATAATACCTTTGGCTTGAAGTGATTAGTTTATGAGATAGACAATTTTCCTGTTAACAAGGATACTATCTCTCTCACCTTAAATGACTGTAACAAAATTGCTTGTAGCATAATTTAAACTTTTTAAATACTTAATCTTACTATTTGTAGTACTTTCAAAAACCAAGAAATAAAAAAATTCAGTTTTTATTAAAGTTTTATCAAAAGTTAAGGATAACCTTTCCGAAGAATAGTTGTATTTCAACATGATAGAGCTTCTCCACACTTTGCTTTACCTGTGCGATAATTTTTAAACGAAACGTTTCTTGGTCCTTGGATAGGGTAAAGACGATAGATGATCGATTAACCACCTAGGTCACCGAATTGAACACCCTAGACTTCTTCTTTAAAGGGTATTTAAAAACAAAAATTTATGCTATTCAACCAGAATCTCTAGATGATATACGACAAAGAATAGAGGATAAATGTCGACAATTAAATGCAGACGTGTTAAGCAATATCAGAGAAAAATTTCAAAATAGATTATACTATTGTATGGAAGTGAAGGTCAGTCATTTGATCAATTATTGTAAAAAATTTTAGTAGTGAAATGTTCATTCTAAATGTGTGTAATAAATTGTTAAAAAATAATTTTTTTCTATCCAATTTTCGTGCTTTTGTATTTATTTTTCTCATACACTAAATAATCACTTCAAGTGATTATATATTATACAGTCATCATATATTATACATTTCTGAAATCAGGACAAAGAGGAGAATCCAAATATCGAATAAAAAAAAAGGGGGAAGTAATTAAAAAAAAGGGATGATACGAGGGATGAAAGGGTGCATTTCCAGCAACCTTAAATATGGTATAATGTCTCCCCTTCAAATATTAGGTAATTGACGTGTTTTTTGCGTTTTTCCTAAGATTTAAAAGTTCAAAATTATTTAAGGTGGATAGTTTTACTGAAAAGCACTATATATATATATATATATATATATATATATTTATATATAATATATATATATATAATATATATATATATATATATATATATATATATATATATATATATATATATATATATATATATATATATATATATATATATATATATATATATATATATATATATAATCATATAGATATAATGTACCTTCCCAGAACATAGAATTCCTAGTACTCAGAATTCTAAGTACTACCAACACCAATAGAGCCTCCCCCCTTTGCCGCCTTCTTAACGTGAAATGAAAACACGTTGTTTCATTCTCAGAAAGTTTATAAACGGTCTGTCCTTATCTAATGCACAACACTGGCGCCATTACCTTTCTTCTCTCTCACTCTCTCACAAGCGTGCACTAGCAAGCAATCGTGGCCTCTACGAATGTACGTACGAATCTCGAAAGTCGAATCTCATTCGTTGTATGACTGTTGAAGGTAGAGTACATAATATTATGATCAATACATAAGAGATATAACCTCAAAAATTGTTATTTACGTCTAAAATTATGTACAGTTGGATTACCATTCCAATTCCAACTAGTGAAGCTTATAGTTTAAGTGTTAGTGTTATATTAGTTCAACATTACTTGGATTAAGTGCTCTTATAAATGAAAATGTGGTGCGTTATTTACAAAACTAGCAGTGTGTGCTTCCTTAACTTAATATAGGTAAGAATTTGTAAAGTGTAATTTCATTTTTGTTCAAAGAATTAAAGTTTGCTGTTATTTTAGAACAATTAATTTAATTTAATGACAGACTTATTACAATATAAAATGACCCATTTTTGTTACATTGATTGGTTTATCTAATAATTGAATTCTTCTTTTCATATTAATTTAACTGTATAATTAGAACAGTCTTACCAAAACTTATCCAGCGATAATAGACACACGTAGAACATTTATCTGTGTTCGTTTTCTGGTGAAAGCTTAATGACAATGTTGCATATGCATTTAAAAGGTAAAAATATTTCAAAAACTGTAAATTCGTGTATACCTAATTAGTGCTGGTTTTAATGTGATAAAACTTGCACTAATCAATTGATATTTTAGTGCTTTAATCTAAGAGTAGCATTGTTAAGTTTTCCTTAGTTTTTAGAATCGCCTTGAAATATATATTGAATTTAATTAGTTATACATTATACATTGATACTATTGTTTTTGGTTAAATAACGTCAGCTGCTTAAATTAATCGTGTTTATGTACGTAAACATTTTTTCACATTTTTGAAGATATGGTTTCTATGTCCACAATCTAAGAGGAAGAAAATAATTCGACATTAGTTTACTACAAATACGATTGATTTTATTATATTTTGCTGATTTTTGTGATAAATAAAAATAAGTTTGCCAAAATTCTTCTCAGTTTCTGTGGTCACGAGCCTTTCGGCTGCCAGTCAGGGTTTTGTCGTATGTTTCAAAAGTGGTTACTCTAAAAAGTAGCCCTTTCGTACCTACTTTATAATCAACGAGTATATTATATACGCATATGCGTCTAAGAATCGTTGCTTTAATATTTAGGTATCCAATTTTGATGTCACCAAAAACCATTATATTATTTTCTAGCTATTCTTTATTCAATTTTTTATTATAAATGTAAATGTTGTATAATGGTTAAATGCTTGATTGGTATTTTACCTATTTATAGCAACTTTGTCTGGGAATGTACATTTCATTTTATTTACTTCCTTTTCTTGGTTACTGCTTTAACCTGAGAACGTATTAAAAATACATACTAATCTCGGGAATCATGAATTAAGTGATGGTATCCACATACGAACCAGGAATTGGCTCTGGCTCAGTATGTAAATACAAATTGCGTAAGATATAATTAAGTAAAAATGTTATGTAATAATGATGTTGGTTCAATTTTACTTATATTCAATTTGAAAATGCATGATAGCACAGTTTTTATGACAGAGGATTACAATGGTTACATGATGGTTCAAAGCAAAACAATTCTAAAAAGCGATACTTTCTTAGCGTATTGTTCAATAGTTTTAAGTTTGCAATAATAATATGGTAATCACAAATCCATGTTCTTCTGCTACTTCATCTACAACATACTTAAATTTGCAATGTAATTTACAAAACTGTCAAAGCTGTTTGTTGAATAGGTATTCCTTCTTCTGTCTTTATTTCTTTTTTGTTATTTTATTAACCAATCTAACAGATCTTTTGTAATATTCCCACAGTTAGCAGTATGGCAGTACATTATTTTGCGTATATAAAGGCGGAAATACACCATTAAATTCGGTTGAACAATGTGATGATGTTTCAAAATGAACCAAGTATTATGCATTCAATAAAGCGTTCAACAAAATTGAACGTTGAAATGAGTGAGATAATTTCTACTTTCCTTCAACTTCGTTGTACAACTGGGATGATTCATCTACATTGAATCGTCTATACAAGTTTTGTCGATTGTGTTCGATTCAACCGTTTATTTCATACAAGTTCCGCACATACGTTTCGAATCATCCACATGGTTCAACCGAATTGAATAAAGAATAAATTGAAGCGTGTATATGTATGCTTCTCAATTTGCTTGAACAATGTAATTGAATCATCCACATTGTTCAACCGAATTGAATGGTGTATTTCCGCCTTAATACATCATACATTGTTCAATGGAAAACCCACATGAAACTATTGGCAGTTACAAGGTTGTTAAAGTATAGTATTCAGTTGTACTTTGTTTTTCCATAATCCTACACTAAAATTTTATGTTTATTTTTGTCCCTGAGACCTCTTCAAATTCGAATTTTCTATATTTATATAATTATTTATAGCTTTATTCCTTTATCGATTTTTTTCAAGGCCAACAATAAAAAGAAATGGTTACAAAAATATAAATATACTTAATGGTGTGTGTTTGATCTATTGTTATAAATGGATTTATTTTATAATTATAAGGATTTCTTTAATCTATTTGTTCCCAGTATTCTTTTTTATGCACAGAAAATTTGAAAAGTCTCTCCTATTTGAGTATCAAGAATATATTTTTTTTACATATTCCCTGGTGTTGATTGACATCTTATTATTTTAATTCAAGGAACTGTGTGAAAGCTCTTCCTTTTTGTATCTTCAAAGCAAAGCACAAAGAGAAGGTTTTGTACCTTCTAGGTAGGTACTGCTGTATTCTGGGAAATATTACCTAGAGGTTTTGTTATCAATGAAAACCCTATTGAAGTTGAGATCCTTAAAAGATTTATGTATGTATTATTTTGATGTCCTATATTCAAGTGACTGCCAACAATTGGCTATATATCAAGGCATTTGTAAGTTTCTATTATAGCAAAAATTCTTATAAAATGGTTTAGTTATGTTATAGTTTATTTCATTTAGAGTATTTAGTGTTTGTCATGAAGGTTGGCAATTAGCACACCATTTTTATCTCCCTGATTTTAGATTTAATCTTACCACAATAATTTATATATATATATATATATATATATATATATATATATATATATATATATATATATATATATATATATATATATATATTGAACATAAACAATAAAATACAAGGGTGGGTCAACGTCCAAAAACAGATACAGTAATTAGGAGGCTATAATTATGATAGATCCTCATATATACATACTAGGATAAAATAAGATTTGCTAAATTTATACTACACAGTAAATGATAAAAGACAAACTAGAATAATGGTATATAATGTTGGAAATATTTTTTCATTTTTAAATGGCCCATTATTACTTAGGAATAAAACAACAGTGTGTAATAATTTCCGAAAAGAAGTATTTATACTCTTATTAATATTCTCGGGATAATAAAACCATGTTCAGAAGATTATAAATGCATTCAAATAAAACAGAAAACTGTAAAACAACATACATATTATGTGCAATTTTAGTATGTACATACTTCTCTTTAAAAACTAAATGTAAATGACCCTGAATGTATATAGCGGTGGAAGCAGGCGGTCTTGAGATTTTTAAATGGAATTCATTATCTCAGATTTCTCGGTACTAACAATGAAATTTATTATTATCTCTTTCGACATTAGATGCGTAGTTGCCAGATGTTCCAACAAATTGATTCCTAAAATGTTCCACATCATTTTAAATATTGTGTCATTCATTCTTCATTATATCCATGCAGGTGCTCATATAAATTTAAATTTAGTTTGACAACTTTGAAATGAAAAAGGTCAATTTGTGTTTAGCTAATTTTTGCTGATATATATATATATATATATATATATATATATATATATATATATTAGTGGATTTTCTTGGGCTTAGGTTCATAAAAAAAATTGATTCAATACTAAGACATTTTCATATATTTTTTCGTCGTTTCAGCAGGAAATCCATGCTTTTTCAAGAAGTAATATTGACAAGCATGTAAAAATTTGGTACTAACAAATAGACGCCACAATTAAAATAATATTAAAAACATAGGACATACTCACTAAGTCACTACTTACATGTAAAATTTTTTATGATTTTAGTGGGTATGACTTCTTGAAAAAGGCATGGATTTCCTGTCGAAACGTCGAAAAAATATATGAAAATGTCTTAGTATCAAATCTTTTTTTTTTATAAACCCAAGCCCAAGAAAATCCACTAAAAATATATATATTAAGGTTCAAGAACTAAACTCAAACCATGGTCTCAAACTATATTATATTGGTCCAAATTTTTTTGACTATTTTGGAAAAAATATGTAAATACTTTTTTCTTTTTGGGTGTGGTAGTCAATAAAAAATAGAGCTTTGCTAAGGCGTACTATTTATTCTGAATCCAAGCTTTCGGTGGTTGTTTGCCACCTTTATCAAGGTCTACAATGAAAATTACTGTGTTGTAAAATTTGAATAATGCAATATAAAAGTTATAAAAAAACTTACCAGAAAGTAAGATTCGCAGCATATACAAACAACGTTAAATAAAATGATATGACGTGAATTGCAAAAGGCATTAAAACTGTTTATGTTTAAAATACACTTAAAATTTAATGAATACGTTATAAAGTTAAAACACAAAATGTAGGACGTGTTTAACAAAAAACAGTTGTCTTTGCAAGTTTGATTTCAGTCACATTTCACGAGCAGAAAGAGACAGTGGGAGGAACCATTGTTGTTTAAATAGTTCGATGAAAATACAAAAAACAATTTTCAAACTGATGTCTAACAAAATACCGATTGTATTTAAATATATATATATATATATATATATATATATATATTATATATATATATATATATAAATATATATATATATATTACACATTAGTGTGTTACACATACAACACAAGTCGGTGAAAACACAGACATTGGGAGGTTTTTGTAAAATGCTGATGAAAATTCATCACAAGGAATTAAGAAAGGCGATAGATTTGCTTTAATTGATGTAAAATGTGTAAAAATTAGGTATATCTTGGGTGGATCACGTCACAGATGAGGAAGTTTTGAGAAGAATGTAAAAAACGGAGAACTGTAAACATTTAACAAGATGGAAAAGACCACATATCTTGACACCAGAGGTACAAGCCGTAGGCAGTGTTCTTGGTTGAAGAAGATCCGTGGTTGGACAGTTAAACACTGCCAAATACGCTAAGCTGACGGAGACTTCGCAAAGACGCATGCTCCTCAGGGTATCTAGCGCATATGGGACAGTTTCAAATAAGGCTATATGTGTCATT